AAAGAAAGAAAAAAGAAAGGAAGGAAACGAAAGACAAATGAAAGAAAGAAAGAATAAGAGAAAGAAGAAGAAAGAAAGAAAAAAGAAGGAAAGACTCTAAGTAAATATGTAGGTGGCAGGTGCTTATCGGCTGCAGGTCTAATTAGGGCAACAGCTAACTAAGGTCCGAATAAGAGAATTGTCACAGATACTAGATTTTTCTCTTCTCTGGCCCCAACACCACCGTTATCATTTCACTTCATTCAACTCCCCTTCCAGGTTCTCCTTCATTGTCTGACACCCACTGGGAAACCGAGGCTCTCTTTCTTCCTGGGTCAACTACATCAAAGGGTTCCAGAGCAATTTTATTACTGTAAGTTCGCTCAACTGGGTGGACAACCTAGACATTCCTCTCCTGTTGTGCCTAGGGCTGGACGTACAGGGTTAAAAAAGAAAACCTTTTTACATTGGGTCAGAGATCCCCGGAGTGTAGGTATGGAAGAGGAAGTGGCAACTACCCTGGCTTACAATAGTGTTCGCTCAGGGTCAGTGATTTTTTTTTTTTTAACAACAGGAATTATTCCGCATAGTTCTGGGAGGCTAGAAGTCTAGGATCAAGGCCACCAGCATCAGCAGGGCTGTTTTTCCTACGGCCTCTCTCCTCCGGGTCAACTGTTTTTGACAACTAGTTTGATAGTTTACCCTTCTCATCTCCTTCACTAGGAGAACTTAGAATTTGGTACAACATAATAATTCAGTCCTTGAATATTAAAGCCTTTAATTAGATCGAACTGACAAATGCAAAGGCTAAGCCATGAATCAGATAATTGGGTGTTTTTTTTTTGAGAGTTCTTATAATTCTCCAATTTTATGAATGTCATGTTTTAGCTATTGGACATGATTCACTAATTTAATAAGTATTTAAGGAGTTTTTTTTACCCACTGCAAAGCACTGTATCCTAGAACAGTGCTTCTCAAACCTTAGTGTGTACAACAGTCAAGAGATTCTTGAAAGACAGATTTCTGGGCCCCACTCCCAAAGATTCCCGATTCTGTAGTCTGGGGAAATGGCCCCGGAGCAATAATTTGCATTTCTAACAAGCCTGTCCGGTAATGCTAATGGAGGAAAAAGGAGTCAATAGTGTCTCACATTTTTCTTGTTAGTTGGATCTTTTATTGGACTTCAAAAATTTGTATCTGTGTAAATCTTCAGCCAAGGGATGGAGCAAATAAAGAAAAATATGAAAATGATTTATAATTTAAATAAATAAATAAAAAATTTTTCAAAAAAATTTTATCTGTGGTAAATCATTGATGAAATGAGATTGGCTGTGAGCCAAATTACTAACTGGTCATGATAGATACATACGTGAAAATGTATTTATTGGCCTGTATATAATATCTGTTTGAACTATTTATAATAAAAGGAGGGAGGAAAAGGTATGTTGGTGTTTTTTATAGGTTTAACAGGCAAAATAAGTGAAGAATATGCTGTATAGTTCTATTTGTATCCCTAAACTGGCAGTTTTAGTAGCTGTGTGGTTCATCTTTGTTTTTATTTTATATTTTTGAGTCTCACTCTGATTGCCCTGGCTAGAGTGCCATGGTTCAGCCTAGCCTCACAGCAACCTCAAACTCCTGGGCTCAAGCGATCCTCCTGCCTGCCTCCCAGGTAGCTGGGACTACAGGCATGCGCCACCATATCTAGCGATTTTTTTTTTTTTTTTTTTTTTTTTTTGAGACAGAGTCTCGCTTTGTTGTCCAGGCTAGAGTGAGTGCCGTGCGTCAGCGCCTAGCTCACAGCAACCTCAAACTCCTGGGCTCGAGCGATCCTTCTGCCTCAGCCTCCGGTAGCTGGGACTACAGGCATGCGCCACCATGCCCGCTAATTTTTTATATATATATCAGTTGGCCAATTAATTTCTTTCTATTTATAGTAGAGACGGGGTCTCGCTCTTGCTCAGGCTGGTTTTGAACTCCTGACCTTGAGCAATCCGCCCGCCTCGGCCTCCCAAGAGCTAGGATTACAGGCATGAGCCACCGCGCCCGGCCTCTAGCTAATTTTTTTTCTACTTTTTAGTTGGTTAGCTAATTTCTTTCTATTTTTTTTTTTTTTTGGTAGAGACGGTGTTCTCGCTCTTGCTCAGGCTGATCTCCAACTCCTGAGCTCAAGCAATTCTCTCTCCTCAGTCTCCCAGGGTGGTAGGATTACAGGTGTGAGCCACCGTGCCCAGCCTTGTTCATCTTTATAACACTGGCAATTCGAGAGTGCCCTATTTCCCAGAGGAAGGATGACTATTGTTTTCTGTTTTGTTTTCTTTTTAATTTTTTTTTATTTTAGCGTATTATGGGGGTACAAGAGTTAAGGTAACTTATGTTGCCCATGCCCCCCTCCCCCCTGGAAGGATGACTGTTGTCCAGACAAGGCTCTTCTGTCAAGGCTTGTTGAACTGTCAGTTTAGTGACCCGAGGCAAAGAACTCTGCTGTTTTTAAGAGTTATTTTGTACATCACATTGAAGTACAATTTAATATTGAAATGTAAGGAAATGGTTCTTACCCTCCATTTGCTGACAAAGCTCTAGTTTCATTTATGCCTGTTGCTTCATCAACAAATAATGATTATCTACCTTTTGTCCAGTTCTCTTTAGAACAGTAGTTCTCAAACAATAGCATGCAAAAAAAAAAAAAATCATCCTGTTTCAAGGTAGGCTGTCAAGAAAAAAAAACCCACATAGGGATCTATTAAAACACAGATTCCTGGCTCCCCCCCACATTCTTATCCAGTGGGAAAGCCCACCAACTGGGAGCTCTAGGAAGCTCCCAGGCAGTGCTGGGCGTGCTAGTGCATGCACCTTGCTCTTCCAGAGCTGTCTACAAGACACAAAACCAGACAGCCAAAAAATCAGAATAATTACCCTCACAGAGCTTATATTCTAGCTAGACGGCTGACAGACAGAATATATGTTATGCAAGATGGGGATAAGAGCTACACAGAAAAATGGAGCAGAGGTAGGCAAAGGGACGCATCATTCAGAAGGCAATATTAAAGATTTAAAAGAGGAGAGAGATCAAGCTGGTTAGATTTCTGGGGGAAGAATGGACCAGAGACAGACAAAAGTAGAGGCAAAAACTCTAATTCTGGAGCATTCCTGGCTTGCTCTGGGATCAACAAGGAGGGCTCCCTGGGGCTGGCAGAGAACACAGGGGGACAAGGCCGGGAGCAAAGCAGGAGGCCAGCGCAGGGCTTCTGCAGTGCTGCAGCTTGATTTGTTGCTCTGAATGAAAGAAAGCCAAAGGAAAATTTTGAGCAAAGGAATATCTTGATGTCAGTGTCTTTGAAAAAGAAAGAAATGCATTCTTGCCAATAGACTGGAACTCTTATTATAGGAAGGCAAGGGTGCAGACAGGGAGAAGAATTGCGAGATTTTTTGAATAATCCAAGCAATAGCTGGAAGTTGGGTTAGGGCAGTGGGAAGGCTTGGAAATACCTGGAAAAGGTCAAGTGCAGCCTGGGTTGACACATATGCCAAATGTGAACCTCCCTTTCTGCCAGGAGACGCAGGTAATCTCAACCTCAGATATCCTGTGACACAGGCAATAACGAAATTTGTTGTTTTTTTTCAGAGACAAGGTTTCCCTCTATAGCCCAGGCTGGAGTGCATTCCCAAGATCATAGCTCACTGTAACCTCTAATTTCTGGGCTCAAGCGCCTCCTGCCTCAGTCTTTTGAGTACCTGGAACTATAGGTGTATGCCACCATTCCCGTTTGGAAAGAAATGTTAAAAATACATGTTCTTTCAACGAATAATCATTTCTTGACACTGCTGGTTCACCAAGTCCTTGTCCATGTGATGATCAAAAAATTCTCTCACCCAGGCGCTGTGGCTCACGCCTGTAATCCTAGCACTCTGGGAGGCTAAGGCGGGTAGATCGCTCAAGGTCAGGAGTTCGAAACCAGCCTGAGCAAGAGCGAGACCCCATCTCTACTAAAAAGAGAAAGAAATTAATTGGCCAACTAAAAATATATAGAAAAAAATTATCTCAACAGTGGAAAAAAGAAGCATATAAAAGAAAAAATACACAAGTTGGTTAATTTCCAAAAAATGAAAAAAAAAAGAAAAGAAAAAATATTACAAGAAAGACACAATTGGATTCTAGATATATTTT